ATATTGTGTGAAATATTTTCCAGGACAGCGTTGAATTTCCTCCAACAATAAACTATCATTTAATTTCTCTTCTTCATTCATTTTTTTTTTTTTTTTTACAAATTTCAAAAAGAGAATATTTCTTTTAGAAAAAGCATACACTCTTCTTTTAATTGAGATAATATTAGTAAATATTTTTTTACAGTTAGTTAAAATAATTTACTTATTAATGAGTAAATATCGTAAGCTACATTTGCGCTTATTATTATTATACAATAATTGTGGTAACAATAATATAGTAGCAGTAGCAGTAATAGTAGTAGTATTAGTAGTAGTTATTGTTGTTGTTAATATTATTATTGTTGTTATTATTGCGGTTGTTGTTGCTGTTTTGCCGCCGCTGCTGTTGTTATTGTTGTCGTTGTTGTTGCCGTTGTCGTTTTGTTGTCGTTGTCGCTTCTTTTGTTATCGTTGTTTTGTTGTCGCCGCTGTTGTGTTGTTGTTTTGTCGTCGCCGCTGTTGTGTTGTTGTTGTTGTTGTTGTTGCCACTGTTTATTTGTAAACAGTAACCAGCTGCTATAAATAATGACAGTTTTTTTTTATTTTTTATTTTTAAATGTGCGACAAAATTAGTTTTTCCATTGCGGTAAAATATATTAAATAACTTTTCCATTTCTTTTATGCTTTTTATGCTGCCGCACCTGTCTTTTCTTTAAAAAAAAAAAAAAAGAAAAGAAAATAAAAATAAGAGAAAGGACAATAATAGCATTAAGAAATTTTCCGATAAAATGAAAACGAAGAAAAAAGAAAGAAAAAAAAACTCTCATTACAAATATTATTCCATCAATTTCTCTCTCTTTTTTTTTTCATAAAATATCACATTTTCGAAAATTAATTTTAACTTGAAATTAGCTTTTAACAAAAATAAACATAAAAGACAAATATGTACAAATAATTTTAAATTATAAATTGTACATTTTGGTTAGTTTATTAGAAAACGGTACAATGTTCCACCAATAAGTTCAAAAAAATAAAAATAAAAATGAAAAAACAAAAAAAAAGAAAAATGAAAAAAAAAGGAAAAACATCCGATTATTATTAAAGTATTCTTCAGAGAGATAAAATAATGAAATTTTTTCTATTTAGTTTATTACAACAAAAATTTTTTTAAAATTTTATTTTTGTCAGAATTAATGATTTTATGATTTTTAATTAAATTATAAATTATATTTTTAATTCATTATAATTTTTAATTATTGAAAAATTGAAATTTTTAATAATTTATTATAATTTTTAATAATTGAGTTCAATTTAATAATTTCAAAAAGTGTGAGTTTAGATTTAATTATAAAATTATTTATAATAATAATTAGAAATAATATTACTAATTGGAGTATTTAATTATGGAATAAAATTAAATGCATTATGAAATAATAAAATGAAATGTTGAAAGTAAGTTGAATTTAATAATTTGAAAGTGTGAATTTAGGTTTAAATTATTTATGATAATTAGAAATAATATTAATGTAATTGGAATATTTAATTATGGAATAAAATTAAATAAATTATCAAATAATGAAATGAAATGAAACAAATTTGTAAAACGAAATTATTCAATAATAATTATCAAAGTTATACATTGATAAACAAAACTGATAAATGATAAATAGTGCAACAGTAAAATATATCAAAAAGGCTGAAAAGCACAAATAAGCAATTTGTTTTTTTAAAAAAAAAATGGAAATAAATGAGAGTTTCTCGTCAAATAGGCACCATTGGTCATTCATTTTATTGCATTGCTTCATTTGATGACTGATTGTATAAGTAGGCGAAAGAAAATTAATAAAAATATTTTAAAAATATTTTCTAATTTCAATCAGTGTTTTTTTGAATTTTCAATTAAACAATTATTATTGTTTTTTGCATCAATTTTATTTACTATTAAATTATTTTCAAATTAAATCAGTAAATAAAAAATTTGCATTAGTTAGAAGTGATAGAAACGATCAATTATATAAATTAATTAAATTAATTTAGCGGAAAATTATTTCAAAACGATATTTGCATACTATTTGGTATATTTCATTTTTTTTTTTCAAATGTTGAAAGAAATTTTAACTTAATAAATAGCATAACTTTGAAGTTTTAAGAAGTTTCAAATAAAATTTAAAAATCGTTGTAACAAATTTAATTATTTTTAAGTAAAGTATGCAAAAATTAGATTTTGGAAAATAAGAATGAATAAAATGAAAATTGAAGCATAGAAGAAATTATTTTAATAATTCTATATGATAACAAAAATAATTAATTAAATAAAAAAAAAGTTAAAATTTGAAATATTGTTTTTTTTTTTTTTTAGGTTCTAAATAGGATTTTAAATAAATGCACATTTAATAATTTAAAAAGAGAGAGAGAGAGAGAGTGAAGTCAGTTATCTGAGATATTATTAATTAATTTAACATATCGTTCATTTGCTTAAATATGGCACAAAAGCGCATTTGTCTCGTTTTTTTTTTTTTAATATTTCACTATTTTTATTTAAATTGCTCACCGATGCAATTTTTTAAAATTATATTCTAAACCTAATGATAATGTGTACATTTCAATGGCTTTATAACATAGTGCCAATAATATATTAGCATTTTATGACAAAAGCGCTCAAAAAAAAAAAAAAAACCATCCACCATTTTTACGGACAATTTTTAGTTTAAAGTTTAAAATGCATACATAACATAGTTGATTCCATCGAATGTGAATTAAAATTTTTGCTGTAAAAATGCAATCAATTTTAATTTTTAGGATATTTTTATCACAATTTTACCAAATTTAATAAATTAAATTCAAATTAAAATATGTTCCAAAAGTCAAAATTAAATCAAAATTGCATTTCAGTTTGGATAAATAAATTCTAATTTAAATAAAGAAATTTGATTATTTATATTTCTTGTTATTACGGCATTTTTCATTAATTTTCTTTCAATTATTTCATTTATTTAAGTTCCTTTTTTTTTGCCAATAATTTTACTTTAATTTGTCAACAAAATTTCTTTCTTTTTTTTTTCTCATTAGTAATTTTTTAATTTTGATATTCATTTTGAAATATTCAATGGTACTTAAATTTTGAAATACCACTTATCAAAAATTTCCCATTTACGTTTTTGTTTTTTTTTCAGATACTTAAAATTTTAATTAAAATAATAAATAAAAACAAGAAAAAAAGCAATAAACAATAATACACATTTAATCAAGAAATTAAGCACAGATGGCAATATTATTAATTAAGAAAAAAATTTAAATAATAATTTAAATTAATAAATAAAATAAAAGAATCAAATTTTTTAATTTTCGAATGAAAAATAAAATTTAACTTAGTTTAATAATATAATTATTTATATAGTCAACAAAAAACAAAAAATAAAAATGTGTAAATGTGATGGGAGAGAGAGAGAGAGAGAGAGAAAGAGAGAGGGGGGCTCAGAGAGAAAAAGGAAGAAATGAATGGAATAAGAAAATTACTAACAAAAGTATTTATATAATCATTTTTTTTTAAACAAAGATAACAAAGTTTCAAAAAAAAAAAAACAGAAAGACAAGAAAGAAACATTTTTCACTTTTTTTTTTTTTCAATAAAAAGCAAAAAAAAAAATTTTTTTTTTTTGTTTTATTGTCTAACTTTTACATTTGTAATGGATGCTATTATCAATTATAATAGAATAATTTCAAACTAAAATGATTAGTTAACTAAATGAATGACAATTGAAAGAGAATCGTTTAAGTGTAAAGCAAAGCATTTTGTGATTTATAACTTTCTTTTCGCTTCAAAATTTTCCAAATGGCGCAAAATGTTTCGTACAACAAAAAAAAAAAAAAAAAAAGAAAATATAAAATCTCACTACTTAGTACCAGTTGCACTTTTTTTTTCTTTCTTATAGCTTTTAATAATAGTAGTTTAAGAGTTTAGTTTTTTTTTTTTTTTCTCTCTCTAAAATATTAACTTTTGTTAGTTTTATTGATTTGCTTGAATTTATCGCTGTAATTTTGGCGCAAATGGATTTTGCAAATTTATCAAATTTAAAATTAATACTGGTATATATGATAGATTAATGTATGTATTTTTAGACGATATTAACGGAAGTATTTTAGTTTTACAACTGTTTGTTATAAATCATTCAAAAAATTTGAACCATTTTATTGATGGATAGCAAAATATTTTTGCGCCAAGTAATTTTGCACTTTATTTGTTAGCAAAATGAAATTTAATTTTAAGTATTAAATATTTATATTTGATATTTCATTTTTTTTCTTTACTAACAAATTTGCAACTTTTTTTTTTCCATCGTTTTTAACTGATCCTAAAATTAATGATTGTAAAATTAAAAATTTTCAAAAGTGATAATAATTAGGATGGGTTGAAAAAAAAAATAATACTACTTCTTCACTATTATTTGACAATTCCTAGATATTAAAGTTATGCATTCAAATTGAGAAACTTAATTGGATTGAAATTTTATTTAATAAATTTTGGATCTTGTTTACAATAATATTATTTTAAAAAAATATTTGAAAATTTGCATGAAATTTTAACTTTTTTTTGATTAACTTTTTTAGAAGAGCCATTAACTTTTTTTCCTCATTTTTTTTAAGATTTAAATTAGATATTTTAATTAGATGGAATAATTAATTTAAAAACAAAATCTTTAATGCTGTCATCAATAAATTTAATTAAGTCTATTAAAATATTTGTGATTTTGAGTAAATGACCAAACTGCATTTTATGACTTATTTGAATAAAATTATAATTTATAAAAAGCAATGATTTGACACACGCATACAACACAATTTTATCTAAAATTATCAAAATTGTTTTAAAAATGATTTTTTTATTAAGTTAAATTTTTTTAAAAAAAAGAGCAAAAGTTTGCGAAGATGAAAAAAGAAAGGGAAAGCAAAGCAATTAATGAATAATATTTATCAAATTTAAACAATCCTTCAAATAGTATGACCCATCTGAGGATGAACTTATGGTCAGAGTTATTGACCCATCTGAGGATGAACTTGTGGTCAGAGTTATTGACCTATCTGAGGATGAACTTGTGGTCAGAGTTATTGACCCATCTGAGGATGAACTTAGGGTCAGAGTTATTGACCCATCTGAGGATGAACTTATGGTCAGAGTTATTGATCTATCCGAGAATGAACTTATGGTCAGAGTTATTGACCCATCTGAGGATGAACTTGTGGTCAGAGTTATTGACCTATCTGAGGATGAACTTGTGGTCAGAGTTATTGACCTATCTGAGGATGAACTTGTGGTCAGAGTTATTGACCCATCTGAGGATGAACTTGTGGTCAGAGTTATTGACCCATCTGAGGATGAACTTAGGGTCAGAGTTATTGACCCATCTGAGGATGAACTTATGATCAGAGTTATTGACCCATCTGAGGATGAACTTATGGTCAGAGTTATTGACCTATCTGAGGATGAACTTATGGTCAGAGTTATTGACCCATCTGAGGATGAACTTATGATCAGAGTTATTGACCCATCTGTGGATGAACTTATGGTCAGAGTTATTGACCTATCTGAGGATGAACTTATGGTCAGAGTTATTGACCCATCTGAGGATGAACTTATGATCAGAGTTATTGACCCATCTGTGGATGAACTTATGGTCAGAGTTATTAACCCATCTGAGGATGAACTTATGGCCAGAGTTATTGACCCATCTGAGGATGAACTTATGGTCAGAGTTATTGACCAATCTGAGGATGAACTTATGGTCAGAGTTATTGATCTATCCGAGAATGAACTTATGGTCAGAGTTATTGACCCATCTGAAGATGAACTTGTGGTCAGAGTTATTGACCTATCTGAGGATAAACTTATGGTCAGAATTACTTTCCTATATTATTAATAAAGCAAATTTTGTTTGTAAAAAATTTTTTCAGGAAACTATAAAGATTAGAATGCATAATCGAACAAACAAACAAATGAATCAACTATTTACTGTTCTATCAAATAGTTTTAAATTCCGATAGGAAAAAAAAAGTAACAAAGATTTTCCATTTATACTCATTAATTTCTCTCCTATTTAATATTTAAAATTTAAAACATTTAAGTTTCATTTTTTCAGGGTAAAATTTTTTGATTTCACTTTTTGAAATGTTCAAATAAAAATATTTCATAAAATAGCGTTTGAATAAAATGTTTGCAAAATGTATTTGCCTTTATTTGAGTGTAACAATTTCTTATTTGCTCACATTTACTTATTTGTACAGGTAAAATATATTATTTAGTACTATGAGTTATTGTTAATTTAATCAAATAAAATTCAATCAATTATTATCAAATAAACTTTATTTGAAAAAGTACTTCCTTTTTCAACGTATAATTTTCAAACTTTTCAATTTCAATCAAATAAAAGAAATAATTTAGTATGAAAAATTGAAATTTAAAAGTAATTTATTTAATCATCAAATATTCACATATAATAATTTATCTAAATATGTTTTTATCTAATAACAAATTATCACTTTAATTTTTCTAATTATTTTTATTTGATAATAAAGTATCACTTAAATATTTATCCGTGAAACAAAAAAAAAAGTAAAAAAAAGTGATTTAGTTAATAAATTTTAGTTCACGTCTAACGAGAATATACGTGAACGTAACAATAATAAGTAAACAATTGAAAAGAAGCAAATCATTGTTTAATAAATAGATTGTAATCATCGAAAAATCATACATTATACCCATCTCTCTTTCATATCTCTCTAAAAATCAAAAATTAAATTGTTGAAATGGATGAAAGAATGGAATGGAATTTAATATTTAAAAATATTTTAAGGAAAGCTCTACCAATAAGAAAGTAATGATGAATTAATTAAATATTGATTAATTAAATGTTCAGAAATAATTGTAGTAAATAATAATTGATGAAAATACAAGCATACTAATTTCTCTAAATTGTACAAAAGAGTTTTTTTTTTTTGAACATTTTAAATTAATTAAATAATAAAAAAATTTCAAAAAAAAAGTAACCACAAAAGCAAAATTAATTTATCATATAATTAATTTTAAATATATAAAGAAATTAATTTACTCATATTATTTTGATTGTTTAGTTATTAATAATAATAAGTTAACTGTATATTCAAATTTTACTTTACTCTTACAAATATGTATAAAGTAATAATGACTTAAAGAAATTTGATACTTAATTATTGCCAATTATCATCTAATCTATCTTTTAAAATAGATTGAAACTTTAACAATTGATTACTTTTTAAAAAGAATATTGTAAACAAAACCTTTGCTAAGATTATGGTATATTTCAGTTTTTTCAAATTAAAAAATTTCAAATTAGACAATTCGTAATTGATAAAATAACCAAAAGATAGAGTAATTGCAGTACCGAAAAAAAAATATAATATTGAATAGTCTTTGTAAGATAAAAAATTGAACTTTAAAAAAAAGGAAAAATGATTTGAAATTTGTGGGTATATCGTCAATTCCTTTTCTTTTTTTTTGATTTCATCACTAAGTAGTAGAAATTCATAATTATACCTCAAAAAAGAAATAATCGTAGATAAAAGGTGGAACCATTGAATCACTCAAAAATTGTCACCTGTTATTGTAAAACTTTAAAGAGAGAGAGAGAGAGAGAGAGAGAGAGAGAGGAAAGAAAAATTTATTATTATCCACAAGCAATTATTATTTATATTTTTACAAAGAAAGAAAAGAAGAACGATTCTATGAAGAAATAATTATAAATTCCAAGAAGTAATAATATTTCATTTTTGAATATTTAAAAAAAAAATAATTTCCTTTGACGTTGTCGACGAAGTTAAATTAATATTAGAAGTTAGATAAATTCAAATAATATCAGAATGTCTTAGAATGATTAAGCAGATTAAGATAATCTGATAGAGTACAAAATTTACCAATTATAGGTAAATTATAGGTACCATGCTATGTAATAGTTTATAAATACCAAAATGCTCTATCCTAGTGAAGTACAAAGGGTACCAATTGCAAGTACCATTTATTACTTTATAAATATTAAAATGCTCTCTGCTAGTAAAATATAAAAGGTACCAATTGCAAGTACCATTTATTAGTCTATTATTATTAAAATGTCCCATCCTAGTAAGGTACAAAGGATACCAATTGCAAGTACCATTTATTAGTTTATAAATATCAAAATGCTCTATGCTAGTAAACTACGAGAAATACCATTTATAGATACCATAAATAAATTTATTAATGCTAAAATATTCTATTATAATAGTTAAGAAATTGTTGCAATAAATAAATAAATAAACAAATAAATAATCATAAAGTTTACAAATACAATAAATTAAAGTTCAATGGAAAAAACTGTCAATTATTTGAGAAAAGTATGAAGTATTATTCATTGAATAATGTATTGAATGCGCTAAAATATTTGCGCAAATGTCTGTTTTATAAATTATTTATTCATTTTTTCATTGAAAAGAATGCAAGCAAACATTGTAAATTCGCCGTAAAAAAAAAAAACTAATAATATAAAGTGAAAAATGTTGAACTATTTGAAATGATTTGAAAAGTGATGTTGTTGTGATCACATAAACTTTGACCTGATATGCAACGGAGATGAATTTACATGATGACCTAATTTGTTTTAAAAAATTTTCGTTTCTTTTTTTAGCATTCAAAAATTTTTGATTCATATTTGATTGTTTAAAAATATAAAAAAATATAAAAATTGAACGAATATAAAAAAAAATATATAAAAATTGAAATTTGATTCATATTTGATTGTTTAAAAAATATAAAAATATTTGATTGTTTAAAAATATATAAAAAATATAAAAATTTTTTTTCAAAATATAAAAATTAAACGAATTATTAAAAGAAAAAGAAAAGACAAAAAAAAAAACTATGAAAATTTTTAATGAAATTTTAAAAAATAGATAAGCAATGATATTACCATTTTAAATTATGCAATAAAATTAATTTCTTACTGGAAAAAATGAATTATTATCACATTGTTCTATTTTATCAGTTTTTTTTTTTTGTTAATATGCAAATGAAATTAATTTATTTTATAGTACAATTTAGTATTTTTTAATTTCTTTTTTTTTCAACTATTAGAAATAAAATAAATTAAAACTATTAGAAATATATTAGAAATAAAACTATTAGAAATAATTTCAACTATTAGAAATAATTAGAATTTTTTTAAGTAATTAAAAATAAAGTATGAATTTCAATTAGTATTTGCAACAATGATAACTGTTAATCATAACTGATAATTGTACGACTTTTCTTTTTTTTAACATTTCCACTATTATTTCAAATATTTATGGTATCTTTTTTAAAAAAATAAAAATTTTAAAAATTCAATTTTTTTTTTTTTTGTAGGAAAAAAGAACTCAGTGAAATATTATTATTTATAATAAATTATCTTTTGAAGATTATTTCAAAATGAAAAAAAATTAAAGAAAAAGAAAAAAGTGACAAGAAATGAAATAATTAAAAATGAACAGAAAATTATTTAAATATCCCGCATAAATCTATTTTTTTTTTTGATATTTTCCGGTATTCTTCCGGTGATTTCATAAATTGATTTTAAAATTTGTAAAATGCTTTCAACTATTATTTAAAAAAAAAAGAAAAAATGAATAGTTTTTCTCAAATTGGAAAACTAAAATTTATGAGGTTCGCAATAATAATTATTATTGCATTTAAAAAATGCATAAGAAATGAATGAAGAAGATATTTTTGTATGAAATGAATTTTCCTCTATTAAATTTCTTGTTTTTAAATTTTAAAAAGGAAATGAAAAAAAAAAAATGAAAAAAAGGAAAAACAGTGATACGAAAGAAATTTCTGGAAAAGAGAATAAATTTTTCTTCTACAAACAATATATGAATTTAATTTATGCTCAATTTTAAAAACTTTTGACATATTTGATAAATTTAAAAATCAAAATCAAACTTAAAACATTAACAATTGAAGATAATTATCATTTAAAAAGGAAAAAAAAGAAATGATTAGATTTTAAAAAAGAAATTTTGATAACATCAAGTATTAGAGTAATGAAATAATCAATCATATATTTTTCATAAGAAATAAAAAGTAAATATTTTTTTGTGTTTTTTAAATTTATTGTAGAAAAAAATGGTATAATATTCAACAATTTTTTTTTCAATATTTTCAGAAAATTTTACATTTCTTAAAATACTAATCAATGCGTACACTTAAATAATTTTTTTAATTTTAATCCTCAAAAAAGAAAAATAAATAAATAATAAAAAAAAAAAAAAGAAAATTGTAAATGAAAATGTGGAAAAAAAAAGTTAAAAATGGACAGTAATTTTAGTAATAGTAAATTGTTAAAAAAGAATTTAAATTTATTGAATGAAATAAAATGAATTAGTAACAAATTTTTATTATTCTTTTCTGTGTGCATTTAAATTTAATGTTTAAAATGTTGAAAATATTGTGACAAATTAATGACAAAGTAATATTCTCTCAAATGAAATGAAAAAAAAAAAAAAAAAGAGTGCAAATTTGTTATTTGACAAATATTTGGCGAAGAAATCATTTTTAGAAAAGTGAAAATGAATGAATCTTATCACAATTTTAACATCAATAAAGGAATGAATGCATAAATGTTTGCATGCATGCATGCATATCTGCATGCCATTGTACTTGCATACATGCATGCATGCATACATATATATCTTATCTCATGTGCATAGCATGCATATTATGTTTGCAATGATTTTAAAATAATTTGTTAATCAATATTTGAGATGAAATTATAATTAAAATTAATAAATTATGATTAAATTAGATTAAAACTAAAATTATGATTAAAATTTAAAAAAAAAAATTCGCGGAATATACTTACCGATTCACAATCGG